CGTTGCACGGTCGGACTTATACCTCATGTGTGTGTGTGCGTGCGTGCGTGCGTACGTGCGTGTTGCGCGTGCATGCGTATGTATTTGTATTGGTGGTTATTGACCTGAAAAGGGCAGATAAGAGTAATTTCAATTTATATCATTATATATAATAAATAATCACTTATTTATAGTAAATAATTACTTATCTATTACTTATTCTACTATTATTTATTATTTTTCACTTAATATTTAATATAGTTTTTAAGGACTAACTAAACGTAGTTAAATCCATAAATGCAGACTTACGGAAATGTCTAATTTTCGAAATATATTTAATCGACTTAATTAATATTTGGTAAAACTTTCCCTTTACACAGTCAGTCTCAAATGACTTAATCTCTAACTGATCTTGACTATGACCCTCAAGGAGCTCATTGATCTTTTCCATCACTCGTTATTTATTAAAAAGTTATAAAAATAATTTTTGTGACTAGTATGTAATTTTCGCACACAAGGTATATATTTCAGCAGTATTTTCCCTTAAGAGAGAGAGAGATGGAGATTTCGCTTTGCGTGAAAAATCGTGCGTTCCCAAGCAGGCAGAAGATGGGACAAGAATTGCTTTGAGTTAGAAATCCTATAATCAAAATTTGGCAAATGTGGACCAAAAATGGCAGATAGAAAGAGATAACAGATAATGGTTGCGTTTAGCAAAGAAAGCAATTTTGCAACTGTTGTAAAATCTATACTTCAACACAATTGGTTCTTGCTTTTGGTTCTTTACAGATCTAAACGTATAAATCAATCACGTTGAAGAATTTTACAGTTTCAAAGCTGCTTTCTCTGCTGAACGCAGCCATTTCTCGTATGCACAAAAAGTGTTAGAATATGTGACAGGCAATACGTGACGACAATATCTTAAGAAACCAATCGATCGAGGTGATCAATTAGCCGAATTGTGCAATTGTAATTTGTTAATTTTCTTTTTGTCCAAGATCTTGGAACGCGCAATTTCTAACCTCTTTGATACAGGTTTTACTCATCTGCTTGTAGCTATCTATCTCTTTTTTTTCGCACTCGTTTTTTAAATTTTTTTATCGCATTTGTAGCTTGTATAAAACAAATAAATATTCACTATTTTTTTTTAACCGTCGGAAGTGTCTGAAAAATCGTGCGGACTGTTACGCTGAACATCCTGCATATGGTACAAATATACGAATGAAGTGGAAAGCAAATAGATTGAATGGCACATGTGCATTATGTCATAAACACAATGCGATGCAACAGCGATAAGAATAGTAATAGGAATGTTACAGAAATAAGCGATATATAACTGTCGTCTCCCATTACACAATGTCGCAAAAGAAATAAAAAATGCCAATCGATCTGATTTTGTATATAGACTTTAATCTTCCATTCGCTTTAAGGGATGCGTTCGGAAATTTAAACTCGTTTAAATTTTACTCGTAGGATAAAGTAGGGTAGAACATGAAAAAAAAACTTAAAAAGTCAGTAGAGTAGCACTATATTCAACGATTTTCCGAACGTATAGTGTTACGTCCTAGGGAGGTTCGGCCGGTCCTAGGATTCGAACTAACTCGAGACTATAAAGTTGGAATAAAACTGGCAATTCAAGCGTCGCGAGTTCGCGAGAGGGCTCTTGATTGGACTTGTCCAATAAATTGATTGGTTAAAGGCGTGCTCTGAATATCCCGATTATAGTGGATACCGAATTATTCCACGTTGCTCTCCCGTTCTCCCTAGATTATCAATGAATTTTAAAAGCCCCCCCCCCCTTTCCCCCTTTCGGGGCAATCGAGACAATTTGCGACGGCATGTCGAGTGACTATTAGTATAGAGCATACATTATAGGATTCGTTCAGGATAATCCAAATGAATGTAATGCCGCAAGACCGCTTGATAATCCCTCTTTTCGTTTTCCGGCGCGGAAGTGTAACTCAGGGCATTTGATGTTGCCGTTTTCCCTATGTTGAAAGAACAATGAAGATATGCAGCACTACATGCATGCAACTACTACGCAACCACATAGAGTACGGACTAATCGCTAGAATTCGAGCGTCGATGGATTCACGCGAACGTAGGTATGTGGGACACATGCTGGGAGCGATTCATCGACGGCAGATTTCAGTTACCGAAATATAGAAAGAAGTTTGCTTATGCCCGGTTAATGTTCTCTGATGTTCCCGAATGCCAATAGAAAGAAGTGGTCAGAGAGGAAGGCTTCCAAAATGAACCAATTATTGATTCAGATCACGCCAATGGGCTGCTTCCTCACTCTTGTTAATGTTTAGCAACGATCGATTATATTGAAAATGTTAAAGCTAGCGAGAAGGTGGGAATATTCACTAAGTTCACACTTAAGTTAAAATTAGGTATATATTTAACAATGATTCACATAGTATATTAGTTAGTGGCGTGATGATTAATTCTTACGCGAAAGTAGACTTACATATCTCCAAATTAAGTTGGATTATTACTAATTAAAATTTAGATCTTATGATTACGTCTAGAATTAAAAATGGAATTAGATTTTATGATTACTTTTAGAATTAGAAATAGAATTAGATTTTATAATTACTTCTAGAAACGGAATTAGTACTTAGAAAAAGAATTATGTTCGCACGCGATGCTTAAACTTAGAGTGGCGGGTGGTCGGACAATGAAATAGGAGCCTGAATTTCGCGCGCGTCCACTCTATACGACGCGTACCGCTACTCTGTCTTCTCTTCTGAGTTTACCCGGGGGTGTTTTTAAACTTGACCACGCCGCTGTTGGGGAGAAACGTCAGGTGCGTTCTAGAAGATGCCCGTGTATATTATTCGGGCCTGGTGGCGAGTATGTTCGAAAAATAATCATTGGACAAAATGAAGTTGCTGCGGACGTAACAAGAGTAAGATTTTAAGGTAACAATGTCGAAATCTATAGTTCCGAAATAAAATATTATTTTCTATAGTAATAGCTGACCGTAGATTGTTAGAAATATTTATAAATGTTATGAAAGAAATCATATAAAAGAAACGATAGTTTTGTTTTGTTTCATCTTTAGCAATCTTTAGTCCATTTTATTTCGTCCATATTATTTCGCGTTAAAGTAGTAACGAATTTACTCCGTTAACCTCTAAAATCTCAGAAGTTGAAAAAGTTACTGTAAAGTACGACCTAGTGATTTTACTCGAATATTTCCGAATGCAAATGGCATATCAATTTTGCAAAACCTGAGTCAATTTTCAAACGGCGATTAGTAACATTTCTACTCGAAGTAGGATTTTTGAACGCATCCAAGGTTATAGCACATAGGTTGCGGTCCACTTGATGCTATAAATGCTTCGAAATTTTTGATTGACCAATCGGAAGAAAGAATTTTATTAACTGACCAATCAAAAAATGCTTCGAAGCATTTGTAGCATCAAGTGGACCGTAGCCATAAACAGAATGAAAAATCTGGACGCTGATTATTGGGCTATAAGATAATAGACACAGAATTTCAACTCGAAAATTTATCGCTATTGTTTTATTCCGTGTTCATATGTACATTAACATATGCATTCTCGTATGTACATTAACATATGGATTCCTCTGTTCCTATTGCTATCGCTATTTCTATCGCTATTGCTGTTGCCTCGCATTGTGTTTAGGGCTTTACAATCAACTGGGACTCTATAGCTTTCTTTCTCACACAGATGTTGACTTCACATTCAGCGCTCAATTCTGCTTCCAGTAGTATATGTTCTTAGGTTGCAATCCTATAATACAATATATAGAGTGGAATAAAACTATAATGAAAACCTTGAAAAATCTCAAAAAGTATAAATTTTAGCATTACCTAAGATGTTCGACTGATGATTAAAACCTTTAAATGTTACTCAAGGTCATGATCTTGACATCATATGTTAGTACCGTAGCCAATGTGACAAGATTCTAAGGCCCGTTTTACAATCAGTCATATGTCAATGTCGATGTCGGTTAGTCATTTGTCGTATGTCGCACATGAATATGACTTGCTATTCTACAATTGAGTCGTTGATCGGAAGGCCGGAATAAATGTAAAGAATAAATATTGAAACATTGAATATACATTCAAATTTATTATTAATTTGGACGCAAATTATGAAAATAAGATTACTTGCGTAACCTGTGTTTAGTAATATTGAGAGATTGCTCGCTCGATGTCATTTGCTGACATTTTAATGACATCGAGCGAGCAATCTGTCAATATTACTAAACGCAGCTTTACAGTTATCATTTAATCTGGAAATTAAATGTATATTAGTACTCGGACTTGTAACAAATTTTACACAACCACATATGGACAACATATGTAATTGTAGAATAATGCGACTCCACTTGCTTGACGATTACTATGTATTGATTTAATTAGTTTTATAATGTTAAAAAGGATCAAAACGATGATCGTATATTATTCAAGTTAATAAACTTGAATAAATTTATATACACGAATTTACCCAGTGTCAGCTCTTATAAGCATTTCTTAAGTTTGATACAAAAGAATTAAATTACAAAATATTTTTATATTAAGTAATAATAATTTAACAAATAAAAAATTATCTGACATATTTATATCATAATAGTTTCTTAAATTTGTGAATATTTTTTGACACATCTCTTTTTTTGCTAACATTTTTAAAATCCACATCGCATTTATCAGACAAGCAACGATTTTCATGAACAAAATCAACAATTATTTCATCTACATTCAATAATTCCATAATATAATGTAAATATATCCATATAAAAATATCTATTTATCCATACACAAATGTATCCGAAAGTTTCATCTAGTCGTAGTCGGAAAAGATGGGACCTGACCAATCCAAACGATGCCCAGCAGCCGACATCGACAGCCGACATGAAAAATAAAGGTTATATGCATGCACACAACATACTATAACGTCTCCTGACTGATTGTAGAAGGCTTAAGGTCCGTTTTATTAATCAATCGTATGTCGGAGTCGGGCGTCGTACGCATACGCACTGGATTGTCGGAAGTCGAAATAGAAGATGATCAATTCCCATCTTTTCCGACTACGACTAAATGAAACGTAACCTTCGGATTTGTGTATGGATAAACAGATATTTTTATACGAATATATGGATATATTTATATTATATTATGGAATCATTGAATGTCAATAGATGAAATAATTATTGATTTTGTTCGCGAAAATCATTGCTTGTATGATAAACGCGATGTGGATTTTAAAAATGTTAGCAAAAAAGAGATCTGTGACAAAAAATATCCACAAATTTGAAAAACTATTATGATATAAATATGTCAGGTAATGTTTTATTTGTTAAATTATTATTATTTAATATAAAAATATTTTGTAATTTAATTCTTTTATATCAAACTTAAGAAATGCCTAAAAGAGCTGACACTGGATGAATTTGTGTATATAAATTTATTCAAGTTTAATAACTACAATAATATACATTTCGATTATCGTTTTGATCCTTTTCAATATTATAAAACTAATTAAATCAATGCATAGTAGTCGTCAAGCAAGTGGAGTCGCATTATTCTACAATCATATAATTTGCGTTCAAATTAATAATAAATTTGAATATGTTTAACGTTTCAATATCCATTCTTTACATTTGTTCCGACCTTCCGACTTCAATCAACGACTCAATTGTAGAATAGCAAGTCGTATTCGTGTGCGACGTACAACATACTACAAACGACTAGTGACAGTCGACATCGGGCCTAAGGCCCGTTCTACAAGTCGAATGACGGAGTCGGGTATCATTAGTCGCTTATCGCGTGTTGTATGTCGAGTATGAGTATGACTTGTTAGTCTACAATTGCGTCGCAAGTCGGAATAGTCATAGACGTCATGGAAATTGAATCGTTGAATGTTTATTCAAATTTATTACTTATTTTAATGCAAATTATAAGATTAAGATTACTTGTAAGAAAACATAAAAAACGAATTATAAGAAGATGATGGGTAAAATCCCATATTACTAGAAATATGAAAAAAAATAAAATTTTGATGCTCATTATACATTATTTATATATTTCCAAATGAATAATCACGAAGAATTTTTCAAACTTACAAGAATGTCGGTGGAATAATTTAACAATTTAAATAGATTATTAAAGCCAAAATTTAAAAAATGTAGTTGTAGAGAACCTCTACCAACGGAGATACGTATTGCAATGACATTAAGGCTCTTGACTAATCGCGGCGACCATGTTGGAATCGTGACGTCAGAAGCGAGGAATGACACGTTAATTTATGCTGCGTGCCATTTTTAAATAAAGACAATTTGGATAAAACGAAATGACGAGATCATTTTAAAACACTTGTAAAAATCGTTGAAAACTGTCCTTTCCTCCCTTGATAGTCAGTAAAAGGCCACGTAAAGTGAGCCTATATTCGGGTAGAAACACACAGTCCAACAGCTATTGAAACGAGTAAAATATACGTTTTTATATATAAAATTATAAGATAATTATAGTTTTCATCGATAATTACGATTTTGATAAGTACGAGATAAGTCATATTTTCACAATTAAGCAAATAATAACGAAATAGCACGCAACATAAATTTCGTCGTCAAAACATCACTTTTTTACACATATAAGTTCGACCATTTATCGTGGTGCGGCGTTGTAACACACAAACAAGCATGAGCCCATGTTCATGTGCTCGCCTGCGGCGCGCCGAGAGTGAACGAGATAGCGAGCTCCTTCTCCCACTAGTAGCTTGTTTCAAGCGACTAAAAATGCTTTCTCAGCCGTTCGGCGGTCCTAGGCGTCAATAAGGAACGGGGGGCATCCTAAATAACATATAAGTTTTAATAAATTAAACGCAAAGCTTTGAAATTCTCATAAAATGTAGCCCTAATGACAAACAAATCTTGGGCTACATTTTATGAGAATTTCAAAGCTTTGCGTTTAAGTCTCAATGAATACAGAGCGAGTGAAAAAAAGGCCTTTTTCGATGTTTTTTAATTTTTTTTCTGCTGAACTAATAGATTTTGATGTTCCATGTCTCATTTTGTAGGTATTTCGAATACCTATATTTTTTATACCAATCAATATATAATATTTCGTGTTATAAACGAAAAACGTGCTTTTTGCAACTATTCGATTTTTTTTGCATACGTTCTTTACAAATCTCGAGTCTTAAACATACGCATTTCTTTTCTGATACGCCTTTCGAGACTTTCGTAAAGAGAAATGCTGGTTTATATTTTTTTTCCAGTAAAATTCTACTTCTACTGAACTATTCTTGCTCAAATTTATGAAAAAGGGATATACTATATAACGCAAAATCGTAAACAATTAAATATCTCGTAAACTGTTGCGTTTTAACATGATTATATTACTCTGGATTAATTATTCTCCGACGAGTCTTTGTTTACTCGAGAGGGATTATTTAACGCACATAATTTACATTATTGGACAAAAGAAAATCCCTTCGTAATCAGAAAATGAATCTTCCAAGTTCGATGGAAATTAAATATTTGGACCAGAATTATAGGAGATCAAATAATTGGACCATGTGTACTTCCAAACAGAATGAGAGGTGACGATTACACTGATTTTTTATGAGATAATTTGCCAAATCTTTTGGAGGATTTGCCGTTAAATATTCGACAAAATGGTTTCAATATAATGGAGCACCACCTCACAACGGCGCGTTAGGCATTATCTAGATACACAATTTCAAAATTCTTGGATTGATAGAGGTGGACCTCTATGGCCAGCAAGATCTAATCTGAACTCTCTAGATTATTTTCTCTGGGGTTATTTAAAAAAACTTATTTATCAAAATCCTATAGAAACATTGGAAGAATTAGAGGAACAACATCACTGTGCTGTAGGAAGTATTACGCCGAAAATGCTCCAACTTACTTAACGAAATCTCATTCACAGAGCAAATGCTTGTATACAAATGGCAGGCTTAGACTTCGAAAATCTGATATGGATATTTAAATCAATATTATTTTAACTTCACATTGCATTCTTATATTAAAGTTTTTAAATTTATTATTTATTATTTATACAATTTATGCACAATGGATTAATTCAGTTTTATTATTATTTTGTCTAAGATACTGTAACTGTGCTCGCGAGCTACGGCACAGCTTCGTCGCGTGCTCTATAACTTTTTACTTAGAAAAATTTTTGTACAATATATCGAAGAGCTCTCGACAGATAGGTTTTTACAATTATTAGAGCTAAATAAGTTGGGCGTCAGACATGAGAGAGCGTGCCACTCTGTTCATCTACGCTACATTAGTTGTTCACAATTAATTCGCGACAGGGATAGGTCAGAAAGATGGGAAAATTATCGGAGGATCAGAGAGACGGGCTGCAAGAACCACATCCAAATTAATAATAAGAGAAATAACAAATATTTGATAGACATCGATTGATTTACAATCAATCGATGAAATCTCGCTCTTTAAGCTGGATTTAATAAGATCTACTTCTCCAGACGGCAACAATGACGGTTGTCTGACGGCCGGTTTTTTTAACGTTTGTACTTTACGTTAAAAGATCTTTCCGAACGATCGCCTTCGACGGTGACTAAGGTATGACAATCAAGTACGAGATCTGGATATAGACAGCGTATAATATAAGAGCTCGTATCTTGTGCGAACTACGTCACCCGCGAAGGTAACTTCGAATCCGAATAATAATCCACGTGACACAATTCCACAATCGGTTCGATATGACACCAAAGACACAAGACAAAACAACGAATAAGACTTTACTCAACTATGGCAAGAGAAGCGAGCGCGAATCGGCAGCGAATAATTCTCTTAACGACAAGGCTTGGACGGATAGCACGTGTTTTACAATTTCACGATTCAGAGGGCAACCATTAAACCAGCTGCTCTCCGTCACGTAAGTTTTTCATGCGATTCACTCGAAGCTACGAACTCAATGTTCGGCAACTTTACACTGGTGGCGGCGCTCGTCTCACTCCAAAATCTTGACGCTTTCCGGTATGCTCGACAACCTCGAGCCGATGCTCTCCATAATTGCTGCGGGGGCACGTGCGTTTTCGTACAATACTCCCGACTCGGCTAGAGAACGAGTAAGCAGGAATTCTTCGCGGATCACGCAGGCCGTTCGTCCCCCTTCCCTAATTGGGGTCATGTCACGCGCCGATTGGCTCCTGTCAACCACGCAGCCAACGCGTGCCACATAGATCCTCACGAACCGCGAATCCTTGCGTCTTAGAGCATGCAATACAAATTTTTATGAGCTTCTTCGTTACCTGAGGCCCCTAAATTCTTCGGGTTGGCG